TTTAACCACTGTCAAAAAAGGAGCATTGGTTCCAATCATAATCTTGGCACAATTATCATTCCAAGCTTTACAGGTAGCTAGTAACTACTGGATGGCATGGGCTATTCCTCCTACAAGCGATACACAACCAGTAATTCGGATGAATATCATACTACTTGTTTATTCATCACTTGCTGTTGGAAGTTCACTTTGCGTGCTATTGCGAGGTATTCTAATTGCCATAACAGGACTTCAAACAGCACAAACGCTCTTCAGAAATATGTTATATAGTGTATTCCGGGCACCAATGGCGTTCTTTGACTCGACTCCAACTGGAAGAATTATAAACCGGGTAACTTGAACTTACAATTTAGCTTATTATAATACTTGCAGTCTGTATTAGTTGACCTATGATTTACCACTAGCCTTTGTGTAATAAATTATTGCAAGTATGAGTTAGATGGTCAAGGAATAGTTCCCAGGATATTAACCTCACTTGTAATTACTTTGCAGGCTTCCAATGATCAAAGCGTTGTAGACTTGGAAATGGCTTTGAGGTTAGGAATGTGTGCAGTTTCAATAATTCAGATTATAGGGACCATTATAGTAATGTCTCAGGTAGCATGGGAAGTGTTTGTTGTTTTTGTTCCTACAATTGCAGCTTGCATTTGGTACCAAGTGAGTAACTTCACCCTTGTAGACTTTAGTCTTTTTTTTTTCCCGTTTTTGTTATGCCTTGGAGTACTTATGAAACCAATTTGTGATTATGGCAGCAATATTACACACCGACAGCCCGAGAACTTGCTCGGTTATCTGGGATACAACAAGCTCCAATTCTCCACCAGTTTGCAGAGTCCCTAGCAGGAGCAGCAACTATTCGCGCTTTCAATCAAGAAGACAGATTTTTCAAAACTAACCTTGCTCTTATTGATGACTTTTCAAGGCCGTGGTTCCATAATGTTTCAGTCATGGAGTGGCTTTGTTTCAGACTGAACATTCTATCAAATTTTGTTTTTGGATTTTCATTTGTTTTGCTGGTATCTCTCCCCGAAGGAGTTATTAATCCAAGTGAGTTTCGTTTTTGGATTTTCATTTGTTTTGCTGGTATCTCTCCCCGAAGGAGTTATTAATCCAAGTGAGTTTCTTTGATACAACTTGTTTGTATATATGCTTTACCACTAAAGAAATCATAAACTGAAATTTTTTAGGAAGCCAAATTAATTTCTATTTACAATGAATTGGAATTTTTTCAGGTATGGCAGGTCTGGCAGTTAGGAAGCCAAATTAATTTCTATTTACAATGAATTGGAATTTTTTCAGGTATGGCAGGTCTGGCAGTGACGTATGGGATAAACTTGAATTATATGCAAACTTCAGTTATCTGGAACATATGCAACGCAGAGAATAAAATCATATCAGTTGAAAGAATTCTTCAGTACTCAAAAATAAAGAGTGAAGCACCTCTTGTTATTGAGAATTGCAGACCACCAAGCAATTGGCCGCAAGAGGGGAGGATTTGCTTCAAAAATTTGCGGGTGAAACTCCATAAAATTTAGCATAAGAAAACTCTAGAGTACTTGAGCCATATATTCAGTACCATATATCCGAAGTTAACAGATTTGCATGTTAAACAATTTGATATGATCAGAAGTACTGGTCAGTACCATATATCCGAAGTTAACAGATTTGCATGTTAAACAATTTGATATGATCAGAAGTACTGGTTCTATTATGCATACAATTTTCTCTCTAATGAGCTTCAACCTTTTGTAGATTCGATATGCAGACCATCTCCCGGATGTCCTGAAAAGCATCAGTTGCACCTTCCCAGCAAGAAAGAAAGTGGGTGTTGTAGGAAGGACGGGCAGTGGGAAATCAACTCTCATACAGGCACTTTTTAGGATTGTTGAACCTAAAGAGGGAACCATTATAATAGACGACATTGACATTTGCAAGATAGGCCTCCATGACCTGAGATCAAGGCTAAGCATCCATTATAATAGACGACATTGACATTTGCAAGATAGGCCTCCATGACCTGAGATCAAGGCTAAGCATCATCCCTCAAGACCCTTCTATGTTTGAAGGAACAGTTAGAGGAAACCTCGACCCACTGGGTCAGTATACTGACCAGGAAATTTGGGAGGTAACGTTTCTTCTCTGCAACGTTTAAATACTATTTTGGTCTTTGTACTTTTGGATTTGGTTTATTTTGATTTCTATAATTTCAACTTTTGTTATTTTAGTCATCATACTTTCAAAACGTCTGTTTTGATCTAGAAATTTTAAAAAATAACCAATGTAGTTTCTATTTGCAAAATTTAGACATAGAATCAAAATGGTCACATGTTTTGAAAGAACAAATACTAAAAAGAACCTTTGCAAAATTTAGACATAGAATCAAAATGGTCACATGTTTTGAAAGAACAAATACTAAAAAGAACCAAAGTTGAAAAGACAGAGACCAAAATAGACACTTTAAAGGTACTGGGACCAAAATGAACCCAAGTTGAAAGGATAGGAGCCGGAATTATAGTTTACTGTGCTTTTTGTGTCTCAGGCCTTGGACAAATGTCTACTAGGTGATTTGGTGCGTGCAAAGGACGAGAAGTTGAATTCTTCAGGTTGAGTTGGACAAATGTCTACTAGGTGATTTGGTGCGTGCAAAGGACGAGAAGTTGAATTCTTCAGGTTGAGCTTGCTAATTTGAAACTGATTACACTTACTAGAAAGTGAGGTATACTTAGCCTTTCTAATACATCATAGTTTAAATTTTTGACAGTGGTTGAAAATGGAGAAAATTGGAGTGTGGGTCAACGACAACTATTTTGTCTGGGAAGGGCATTGCTCTCCAAGAGTCGTATTCTAGTGCTTGATGAAGCAACAGCCTCCGTTGATTCTGCCACTGATGGCATCATACAAAACATCATCGGCCAAGAGTTCAAAGATCGTACCGTGGTTACCATAGCTCATAGAATCCACACCATCATTGATAGCGATTTTGTCTTGGTTCTCAGTGATGGTGGGTTCTGAAGTTCTTTCCCCATTCATTCATATATGATCTTGCTTTCTATTCTTTGCATTGGTTACTTTACTGATAAGATTTTGATATATTAGAGACTAAACTAGTACTGTTTTTTATGAGCAGGAAGAATTGCAGAGTTCGACTCACCGAACATGCTTCTCAAAAGAGAGGACTCGTTTTTCTCTAAGCTAATTAAAGAGTACTCCACGAGGTCTCAAAACTTCAATAGTTTGGCTAATCAAAGTTATGAATAGAGCTTGTGAGCAGCTCTTGGATGATGGAGACATATAAGCAACATAAAATTGCAGTTTGCAATTGTGATCGTGGTAAGCATTTTCAAAAAGTTCGTTGAGTTGTAACCCCGAGTTGATTCTAGGAGAAAGATGGGGATTGGATTGTTTAGAGATCCTTGGTAGAGAGTTGTAACCCCGAGTTGATTCTAGGAGAAAGATGGGGATTGGATTGTTTAGAGATCCTTGGTAGAGACTAATCCATTATAGTCTTTTTAAGATTATAGTGAAATAGCAGAAGTTGCCTAGCTAGATCCTCACGAGTTCATTTGAACTCTAGAAGCAATTCTAGTGTTGTTTGGGTTACTCCTGCTTATTACAGGCCTCAAGTTCACAATACCATTAGACTCATTCACAGTTTTTCTTTTTTACTTTTTAGTTGTCGTTACCAACTCGAGCATAATTCAACTAAGAAGGCTCGATATTTAAATCTCAATCCTTGCTCGCATGTGGTTGAACTTAAAAGAAACTATTGAATGATCTCAAAGAATGACCATTTTCAGCATCTCTAGAATTTTTCTTCTTCTTTTATTATTGAATGAAAGTTCTAGGAAGTATCTTATTGTACTTTTGCCTCTCGTACACTTAATACCATCATGTTTGACCAGAGAGGATGGGTCCTTTGGATTCCTCATTGCTCTGACCATTTTTTTGTAGTGAGTTCTGCGAAGCTATCGGACCCGACCGAGATGATTTCTAACTTCTTGGGATATGTTTCTTTCATTGCTGAGTTGGTAGTTCGTGATATATTATAGTTGGGTTATTCTATTATGTTAGACTGCTCTGTAGAATCTCAGGATCATTTGTTGTTTGGATTGCCTCTGCAATCGAATAGTTTTGGATAGTGTTTTGTCT